GGGAAGGGATCGGATTCCATAGGGAGGGGTTTACGATTAATTAATTGGTTTGACTTTTAGTCTAGGCACACAATTTTGTGTATATAGTGGATTTTATGAGTATGAGATAGATATTTGTCGTGGAGCAAATTATTATGCGGATTCGGGTCCATCTTGCAAGTTAGACTCAGGTCACAAAGTACATAATTTAAATAGTGAATATTAACAATTGACCTATTAATAGGGCATTTGGTTGGAACGGAAAATTACATGATAAATGAATTGCAATTTCATGGGAAATGAATTACTGGAAATAAAGTTGAATTTAAATTCCAGTGTTTGGTATACCGGAATAGAATTACTAGGAATTTCAACTCAAATGTTTGGTATACATGAAAATTGAAAGGGAATAAGTAGTATAAAGTCCAAAATATCCATTGTTGTTGTGGTATTAATTTTATGTTTAAAAAATGGTAATTTTGTCTCATCACTAGCTTTTTTTCATCCCAAAATCCCGGGAATTAAAATCCCAGGTGGGTAAATGGGATTTTAATTCAATGAAAATTAGGAAATTGCAATTTCTTCCTGTTGGTTTTAGGGTTTTTGGGCCCAGGGGGGTCCAACACAACCTTAGTTGGTGGATTCACCTTTCAAAAATAGAAGGGAATAATGGTTCTCTTGAATATGTGTATTTATTCTTTTTGGCATGGACTGGCCCCCCTTTTTTATAGTTTCTGAGGAGCCCTTTTATAGTGGGTCTCTTTGGAATCCACCAAAGCATACATTTAAGGCCATAAATTGGCACATTAACTCTCTTTTAACTCTTAAGTCCGTTGGGCGGCCGTTACTGGGCCTCCGAACGGCTTTTTGCCTGTGCCTTCAAAGCTGCCTCTTAAATGCTTCAACGGTATCTTAACAATCATTATTGTGTGGACCATATTTTGTCTTTTGTAAAATAATGTACATTCAGTACAAATATAATGTACATTCAATACAAAAATAATGTATATTGTATTCAGGAGGTGTACATTATTTTTGTTTTGAGTGTACATTATATTGTATAATGTACATTCAGTAAAAAAATAATGTATATTTAGTATATTAAAAATGTACTTTTTATTATGGTTCACATAACGTTGTGTGAACCATGGTCCATACAATAATTTGCCGTATCTTAACACTCGCGCTGATCGAGTACTCGCACCGACCTCAGGGTCGAGGCGACTTCTTAGTTCGATCCATGTTCTTCTTGGGTATTCCCTCTTCTGGGTTTGGCCCCTTCTTCTCTTCGGGTCGCTCTTACTTTAGGGCTTCTCCTCTTCTTCCCAGGTTTGGGGCCCCGGGGTCCGTACCCCATCAACTAGTCCCTCACTTTTCAATATTGAGTCCTTTCTCCTACTCGAATGTTGAAAAGTAACCGCCTCATTACTGCAAATCACTGGGATCTCTCCCTAATATTCTCCCTTCAATGGCTGGATCACAACCGGATCTTGCGTGATTTCCCTAATTCGCCGGATCCGTTTTGACTCTTTCCTCTACCCCTTGGACTTATAAATAGCGCTTTTGCCTTTGGCATTTCTTCATCCTTCTTGCCAACATGGGTCGTTCTCCTATAAAAGGAATGAAGATAGATTTTGGGTCACCGTCTCGCCCTCCTCCTTCCAAGCGACCGAGGTTGGAAAAGGGAAAGAAAAAAGCTCATAGACCTTCCTCTCGAAGGCATAACTCAGGCTCCACCTCTTCTGACTCGCGGATGGTGACAGAGGCCCCGCCGCCGGTCGTGGATTCCTCTTCCCTGATTGATCCTTTGCCCCAAACCAAAGTCCGTGTCACGGCCAAGGACGGGACTTTCGTCGAAGTGGCAGTCCCAGAACAACTGGCCTTCAAAATGATCTTTACCATCCCCCTGGATGACCTCGACATGCCAGCCACTGATCTAATGTCGGATGCTGACTTTGCCCGCTATCTCGAGCTATATCCGGACGACGAAGCACCTGTGGTTCCGCCCCTAATGCCGGCCTTCTGGGACTCGGTCTGCCCATCTCCTGCTGGTTCATCGGATGAGATGACTTTCCTGGACGAGCCCTCCTCACCGGACAAGTGAGTCGCACTGCCAGAGGCTTCCTGGCGACTGGACATGATGTCGAGTGAGATTTAATTGATTATGTAGAATATTATTGTGATGTATTTCTATTCCTTTTTTAGTTTACGCTCCTTTTTTAATTTACCTTTAGTATTTACTATTGTTTGGGCGAAAAATCAAGTAAATATGATTTTGTTTTTAATTATAGTATAGATATAGATATAGATTATTTATTTATTTATTATTATTATTATAATTATTATTAAGTTAATTCCGTTTCCTTTTTCATTTTTCTTTGTTTTTTATTGTTTGGGAAGCAGTGTTTGGGCAAGAATGAAAGAAAGAATTTGTTTTAATAATAAGTATAAATATATTATTAGCTTAGTTATCATAATAATTATTAGTCAATTATATTAAAGGTGTGTTTGGAAACTCAAAAATTGTTTCCAGGAATCATTTTCTAGCTGTTCAGTGTTTGGTTTGAGAGGGGAATTTTATAGAAAATGACTTTCCTTTTTTTTTTTTGGAGGAAGTCATTTTCCGTTTGCAGCAGTGGAGAAGCCAATCACCCACCGCCGCCCACCACCACCCACCATACAGCCAAAATTTATGTTGCATGGAATTTAAAATAAAAATTGTTATATTATAAACAAAACAATAATTTTTTTTTTGTTTGGATATATAACAATTGAAATGTTTAAGTATACAATTTTACTCATTTTCTGTTTATTTTCTGAAAAATGAACCAAATACACAAAGACATTTTCTGAAAAATGACTCAATTCAAATACACACAAAGACAATTTTCCAAATATATAAATACATTTTTTGAAATATGAATCAAATACACAAAGACAATTTTCTGATGTGCAGCAAAACATTGAAAAGAAAAATGTTTTCTGAAAAATAAGTCATTTTTCAGAAATCATTTTCCTACTTTCCAAACGAACTTTAATATCTGTACAATTAATTTGTTAATTGCCATAATAATTATTGAAAAATTACCTTGTTTGATTATTGACAAATTTCCCAAAATTTTAACAAATTCGCCATTTTAACATTTTTCTTTAATCAAAACACCACAAATACTATTTGATAACTCATCAATTTGCTCTGAACTGCTAAAAACTAAAACAACACATATACATTTTGAGAAAAAATTAAGATTAATTCCCAAAGCCCCCTAATAAATAAAAAATACTATAATAATATGCAAATACTATAGTTTTGTTTTGACCAATATTATATATATATATATGGATGCACTCGGCTGCGAATAAGTGTCCAGGAAAGAATATGCGAACGAATCAGCGCGCGACACGTGTCCAGATCTAATAGCTTTTAAAAAATGCGGTGGCATTTTTATAAATAATTGAACATCGAAGTGCAAGTAAAGTCACTTACAAGTGCACCTACTTCACCTACAAGTACATGTAATTTTGTCTTGTTAGCATTCACTTCCCGCAAACATTCATGCACCCGGGTGTGCTTATAACTATATGTGCAACTATTTTTAACTATAGGTGCAACTATTTATAACTATAGGTGCACCTACTTTCACCTATAAGTGCATGTAATTTTGCCTTGTTAACATACATTGATCTGAGTTCAGCGGGTAGTAATACCCCTGAAAACCACCGCGAACATTCATGCACCTAGGTGAATGTTGGTGCAACTACTTATAATTATGTGTGCAACTACTTAGAAATATAGGTGCGACTACTTATAACTATAGGTGCACTTAGTATTGATGCTCAGTGTAAATTTTTACTTGCACCTATAATACATTTTACATGCACTTGTAATACATTTTACTTGCACTTCGATGTTCAATTATTTACGAAAATGCCACGGCACTTTTTTTAAAAAATAAGTGTTTCTCATCCATTAGATCTGGACACGTGGATGGACAAAATCCATTCTTATTTCGCTCCTGGACGAAGCATTCGCACCTAAGTGCGATTATATATATATATATATATATATATATATATATATATATATATATATATATATATATATTGATTTGTGATGATTATGAAGTCCCTAAACCATTGATATTTCATAACTCTCAAATGTACCAAATGGAGGGAAAAAATGTTCACCTTAATTCTGCTATATTATAATAGTTAAATAAATCAATATATATTATAATTGCAACGTGTAAAAAATAGTATTAATAACTGAATATTAGTATTACTCTTGCTCAAGTACCTTATTGCATGAAAACAGTTTGTGATTTCATGTTGCGTGTCATAAATGTATAATTGAGCAAACTTCGGCCGCCATCCTTATTTTGGTAGTAGACTTCCCAATAGGTGAAAATTTTGTTCGTGTAACCGAAAAACTGGTGGGGCACTACCATTGTTAATAGTCCTATCAATTTCTCCACCCATTAAAGTGAAGCAAAACATATTGTTGTAGGTCCTAATATTTTGCAAAAAAAATGCATACTTTTGTCATCGTTCTTAAAAAATAAATCAAATATAGCAACCGGAAGAGTGACTTTAGGAGGCAACTTTATTTTTCCATAAGTACAGCAAAGTGAATACTTTGATTTTGAAGTACCTAATCCAAATTTTCCTCTGTTTTGTTAGACTCAAGTTGTGAGGATAGGTCCTTATGTCCAGCAATTCAAATCAATAGGCATCCACCATGCAGGCCATTTATGATTTTTATAACAGTAAAGAAATGCCTTGCAAATATCATGTAAGGTATGTATGTCAAGATACTACCAAAGAGAATATAATAAAACCAATTCACTCTCTTTCACTTTCTTTGTCATTCCAAGAGTTGCTATTGAACTATCTGGCCATTCCAGATCTATGTATACTGCTTTTTAAGATCCTTAAATGTTGTTAAAAGTATGCATTAGTTAACTGTTAACCCGAATTTCAGTAAACTGCATCTCAAATACCTTAGTTAGATAACGGTTTTTTTATATATTTTTTTGTCTGACTTGAAGATAGACATAGATTTTGTATATTGATAATCTGGAATTCAACTTGTATGTTAGCTTAATGACTTAACCGGCAGATAAATTCTTTCTATATGTGCTACAATTTAAAACTGTTATCTGTGAGATTTTATACATTATATAAGAGGTGCAGTAGAAATTAGAGCACGGGATTACCTTTGTGTGATCCATATGTGAGCCAATTGTATACTCATAATTTTTCAACTGAAATGCAACAAATTGTACACTTCAGACTTCAATTGGCGATGGGCACAGAGTATACAATTGGGCTAATTGGACTCAAAGGAGTATAAAATTCCAGGTATGTATATTACTGGCAATGTACAATTTATTTAGCATATTATTGATTGATCATAGTTGGTGTCGATGTGTCACATATTTACAGAAAAAAGTGAAAAAAAAAAACACTACACAGATAAGAGAACAATAATGAAATTGACTTAAATGATTGAAATTAACACCACACAGATAAGAGAACACTAACATAAACACACATGTATTAGTTGAATTAAAGTATTCAAATTAGTTATGCATTTGGATTTTACCTCTATTTGGAGCAATGTGTTTCCTCTTGCAAATTGTGACCAAGCTTCTTTGTTAATTGTAGCATCCTCCCTTCCTTGACCAAATTATTTCTAGAATCCACCTTGACATCAGAGAATATTTCAAATTCTTTCTGAATAAACTCAAGTGCGCTTTGTAATTTTAAAATCTCTGAATTCATGGACTTCTGGAAAATCTTTATTGATATGAATTTGTGTCAAATTGTAGCTGCTGCACAACTTAATATCAAAAGTTGATAGGCAAACTATCTAATTTTCAACACCATGAAGCAATTCAGATGAGAACATTCAATTTTATTCTTAATCTGTGTATTTAGATTTGTTTTTTTTTAGCTACAAATTTCAGATTCATGGATTTCATGCAATTTATAAACAAAGGCGCATTACCATTCAAATTCAAATCCAATATCCCAGTTTAACTCAGTACCTAAGAATTACATCACCCCTTAGTTCTACATGAAGCATAATACCATTCTGTCTCACTTTCTATGAACACAATTCTAGTAGCAACCCAAAAATCTTCAAACTGCCATAACAAAAGACCAAATTTATCTTAGAAATTACAGTATTTTGCATTTTAATACAGTTTTGATGGTTGAATGGCTTTGCAGGTACTAAACTTCCCTAAGAAAAATGCAGAATCACTGAGATGGAAGTATACCATAGTATTTGTCTGCTTCCTACAGAGGTAAGTTATTATAAATGTTAAGATAATAGATAGTTCCTTTGTGTTTTAGACTAATAAAGTAATACCCTAGTTGCAAATCCAATATTAAATACGCTTTTTATCAGTTCATTTTCCAGGTTCTATACTTTTTGTAATGTATAAAACATTTATTTATCTAAGTTAGACAGAGGTTATACCTGTTGATTTTCTTGTGTTTCCAGTTGATAATCTCTTTTCCTTTTTGGTACCTCAATATTCTCAAGTAGCAGCCTTGAACAAATTAGATGAAGGGCACAGTATTGGGGATGCAAACAACATCTGTGTAACTGAGATACTTAACAATATTTCAAAATGGAAGGTACATGCTTATTAAATACATGGTATTTGCGGTTGAGTTCAAACAAAAGTTTTGATAGTGTATAATGAGAAACAGAATACTTACAAATTGTACTCCTTCTTCCAATGGTATGATTTTCAAATCTCTAGAATTATTTTCTTTATGCAAAAAAAGTTGAAATAGGATTCAGAGGTTACCAAATGTACAGATGTTTTGCAGCCGGCTCTTTTGGATATGAAAGTTTCGGCGGCCACTCATCATACAGACGTTTTCCCCGCTGTTTCCTTTCCGGCGAGTCTGGTATCACTGCTGCCCTGCTCTTTACTTTCCGTCGAGACTGGTATCACTGCTGCCCTGCTCTTTACTTTCCGTCGACTGGTATCACTGCTGCCCTGCATGACCTAGTGTTTGTATTGAAGACTGAAACTTTGATAGTCTTTGTATTGGAGAGAAAGTGTGTATATATATAGATATTTAGATAGAATTGCTTCCCTATTGTTAGTTAACGAAAGGGCAAAATCGATTGGTCTTCAATTAATGGCTTTGGAAAAGTAAATCCGGCTCTTCACCATAAATATTATATGGGAAAATGAAGAGTACCACCGGCTTAAACTTATAAATTAAATCTGATTGGCTTATAAAAAAATCTTGGGTCTAAAATAAATAGAAACAAAATATTTACTTTAAATTTTTTTGGTAACCGATGAGTTACACGTCCTTTTAAGCAAAGTGACATAAATATTTGATACTCCTCAAAACGACGTAGTATTGTTTAGGCGGGAATTTTTTGCTCCTATTATTTTATTTTAATATATATAGAGATATCAGGGTGAGCTGTACTACTTCAAACAAACTAGCAGCTAAATGAGCTAATCAATTAATATCAATGTTGAGTTGTGGAGTAGCCGATTTGCTGTTGAGCTGCACACCATGGTGCTCAGGACTATCAACCTCCAACATATATGAAGCAAATAAACTTACTAATATCATCATAAAACATCTTTGATAGATTGAATTTCATACTACAGTGAGCCGTACCACTACTAATTACTTTTCTCTATTGAGTCAATTAATTTTACATATTGAGATTGATCTCTTGTAAGACCGTCTCACAAATTTTAATTCGTTAGTCGAGTCGGATCTAATAAAAATATGTCATAATAAAATTTAAAATATAATCAATACTATAAACTTTATACATAATACTTTAATTTATATCATAAATGTAGTGTTTTATAGCAAAAATATAATAGACAATTTGTAAGATATAAATTAATAAAATAACCGAATTGCACATGTCGTTAATACTTTTAACGTTGTATATAATACTTTATAGCATAAATGTAATACTTTATAGCAAAACTATAATACACAATTTGTAGAAAATAAAGCAATAATATAACAAAATTGTATATATAATCAATATTTTAAGACATATATATATATATATATATATATATATATATATATATATATATATAATAGTTTATAGCATATATAAATGTAGTATTTATAGCAAAATTATAATAGATAATTTGTAAAAAATAAAGTAATAACATAATAGAAATACATATATGTGATATTGTTTTGTTTAAGTGGGATGTGGAAAGTGTAACACCATGTATTACGCCCTTTAAATTCGGATTAATTATTTAATTAGTTCCGTTAAAAAATTAGTTAAAAAGAATTTAATTCAGTCGTAATTTCCTAATTAATTGATATGGTCCACGGAGGATCGTGGACCCTTACCCTTAATGAAACCCCAGGCTCTAATGGAATTTTGTTCTTTGAGTACGTGGATTTAGGGATTAAGCAATTAAGTGAATCTGATGTCCGAAGTCACGCATACAAGGGAGAAATACGAAGAATTATACATTAGGCAGATGAAATGACTACTTTACCCTTTCATTTAAAGTCTAATTTACTGTAATTTGACGAAATGACCTCAATTGGAAAGAAATTGAAAGTCAAGAGACGTAAAGTGTCCAAATTAAAAGTCGAAGACTAATTTTGGAAAATCAATATAGTCGGAAGACCATTGCTAGAATTAACTCTAAACAAAAATTAGCTAATAAAATGTGTATACCAAATACCCTCATAAGAATAGAATGTATTGTTGAAAAGATTAGCTTAAAATGATATTTAAAGTGACAATTTTGTGGTATAATTTTTAATGTAGTTCACTTTTAATTTGGACCGAGTTAAAGTGAATTCGGGTTCTCCTAAGTGAGATGACCAATTTAATATATTATACGCAAAAAATTGATAGTGAATGAATGAAAAATTAATTTTCAAAGTGCACCCATTTGAATTGGGAAAAATGAAGTTGAGAAGATTTTGAAGTATCCTTTATCCCGGCCCACATTAGAAAATGGATGTGAGTTTACACTAGTATATATAGTATATACAATTCCTTTTTTTTTTTTTTTTTTTTTTTTTTGAAAGAACTTGAATTGTAGTTTAAGTGAATTTTAAAGATTTTTTATTAATGAATAACCATTGTAACTATCAATGTGTATAATTATAACACTAATCACAATATTTAATAGTGTAAAAAATAATATAAATATAATATATTTATATTTAAATTGATAGAAAGAGGCATTGGTATGTAATACTTTTGTTATTATATAGATATAGTTAAATATTATATTATATTTTTCTTTGCATGCAAAAATAATCTTATTTTAAAATTTTGTATTGATATCTGAGTTTTATTTATAATTTAATTTGGTGATATTATAAAGTTCTATTTGTTATCATAAATAGAAAATATATGTTCAGAAAACTCTTAGTTTTGTTTTGAAATGTTTTTCAAAATGTATAACTTTAGGTCAACATTTAAATACTAGGTCCATTTTGGTAAGTTCATAGCAAGTTTTTTTTTTTTTTTAGATAAGCATTGCAAGCTTTGTGCTTCAATAAGTTTTTAACTAATTTGTTAAAATTTTATTTCTTTTAGTTCTATTATTTATTCTTTGTTTTAAATTGATAGATCCAGAGATGATGTATCCTATTTAAATGTAGGTTAAAAATAATTTATAATTGTTGGCGTCAGTCAGATTGGTTGAGTTCAACCCCTGCTCAATTCGAAACGTGGCACTATAGCTTACCATAGAGCGAAATGGTTAAATGGTTATCACCAATTGATTTTACGTAAGATATGACAACCAGATAGCCAAAGAACTCGGTGATTAAAAATTCTTGACTTTCAGCAATTCCAGAATGGGCGTTGAGATCCATCAATAATCACATTCTATTTGAATGTGAGTCACCCAATAAAATTTTATTTGTTTAATCTCCAAAAATGTAAGTTTTTTTTTTTTTTTTTTTTGAAAAAACAAATGTAAGTTTTTTTTTTTTTAATGTTACTGGCTCTATTACATTGTAGTATCTGTTCATATACTTTCTCAACCTACAGAAACACAAAGAACAATAACGCCTCCTTCATATACTTTCTCAACCTACACAAAGAACAATAACGCCTCCTTCATATACTTTTTCAACCTACAGAAACACAAAGAACAATAACGCCTCCACTAAGACTCGAACTCACAACCTTCCAAATGGAAGTCCAACCCAGGTACCATTAAAACAAATGTAAGTTAATTCAATCATTTTTTAAATATTTTTTATGTTAATTTTTATTCAATTATGTTTTTATCGTAAATTAATTTGTTTTGAGATAATAATATTTATCGTATTTATAAATTTGTTTATACCATTTTTAATACAAATTATTTTAAATGAATGCAATAATATTTAAGTTTTTCATTAGAAGAATGCTAAAATCATAATAATTATATATTTTACTTTTCATATTTTCAAACTTTGAACATAAAAGGATAAATTTCTATATGATATTAATAATGTCAAAATTATTTTCAAAAGTTAGATGGTATAAAAAAAAATTACATACACCACTAATTCAATAGGTAAGTATCATATTTAGGGTTAAGGTTCAGCCTTTTGAAAGAAGTATCATATTCTTTACCAAACATGAAATTTAAATTATTAGTTAAAATAAATAAATAATTATATGTTAAAGTGAATTAGAAAATGTTGATGTTCTTAAACCGAACTGAAATCAGATTTGAACCAAATCCAAACCTAAATCGAACTCTTTTAAATCCAACTGAACTAAAATTTTTAAACTGACATCACTGCTGGAAATTTGCCATTTTCCGACCACCAAAAAGTGGTCGGAAATGGCCTTCATTAGGTCGGAAACACCTATTCCGACCTCTTTTCCGACCAATTTAGGTGTCCGGAAAAATCCCTCTCACTATTTCCGACAACCAGAGAGATTTGTCTGAAATAGCGACCACTTTTCTAAGTCTGTCGAAAAAAATGGCCAACTGATTGGGGTCCAGATTTTCCGACCACCGGTGGTCAGAAATTCGGCCACTGCAGTGGTCGGAAAACTGGACACAGTCAATAAAAAAAATTAAATTCATTTCACTACAGAGGATCCCTCTGTAATGAAATGAATATATATATATATATATATATATATATATATATATATATATATATATTGTTGCAAGCTGGTAAGATATTTGCTAAAAAAACATATACACTTCAAAAGAATCCATTCATGAATATACAGTTAAAAAAATTTAACACAAGTCAATCTAATCTAGAAAGAAAAGACAAAAATTATGATACTAATGCAAATTAAGGAATATATTCTGGATTATTATTAAGCTAAAATATTTAAAAACCCAACCAAGAAAAAGAAGTCCAAGACCAAGAGCGAAGAAACGGGCAAGAGGTTCTCCCAGCTCTGACTCACTTCGATCCATCAATGCAAAAATAATTGCATGGGCAATATCTTTATTGCATGAACCCACGAACACCAATCCCAATGAGACTGCAGTAAATGCAATGACATCAATAGATGAACAACAACAATACATGCACAGAATCACACCTCCTCATTCTGAGAACCTGCATATGCAAGTCGAAGACCCATTATTACACCAATTCTAATCGAAGCATCATCTCTGTCTATATACTCTATGAGGAGTGCTAATGCCTGTGATGCAAAACAATATGAGATCATAGTATATATTTATAAGAACAAAACAAGTCCAGTAATACGAAAATACATAAAGGACTTACAGGATCACACTCATTCTTGACAGAACATTTTACTACCCCAACTGCCAATAGAGCGACCGCAATTACATTATTGTCAGTACTGTGGAAGTACTTGTCAATTTGTGCAAGTCCATTATCGACATCCCATTGTAGGATCATACCCTAAAATGCAGGGAGAAGGCTTTGCCATGTTCTTTATTTTTAAAAAGCCAACTTGTTGAGGAGTCACCACTTGAGGCCTCTGATGGAACTGTCATCAGCTTATCCTGCAAGCCTAAAAATGGTAACCATTGTATCCATATATGCAAATAAAGGTGAGCATATACAGCTTAACTCATATTACCTGACCAAATTCATTTCACCACAGAGAATCCCTCTGTAGTGAAACGACCACCTCTAGTAGCTTTTTCTCCTCCAAAAGCACCACCTATCTCAGCTCCATTTGTTGGTATGTTCACATTAACAATACCACAATCACTTCCTAAAGGACTGCCATCAAAACAAAAATTGTCAACAGATGCAGGATCATAATTGAAAAAAGAAATCTAAAATAAGATCTAATATTGAAAAATATATGCAAAAAAAAAGGCATGCAATCTATTATTTTTGCCAAATATGTAAAAGATATATTTAATTTATAATCCCAATAATCAAATTAAATCATCTGTATCTAACACCACAACATATAATCTTTGAATTTCATTAAATGAGAAAATAAACTGTTGAAATACTAACCCAATCCACTTGAATATATATTCAGGTTTCTTGGTGAAGATTGAACTACTCAAACCCTGAGGCACAGAGTTGTTTATTTCAACAGCATCCTTAAATGTCTGCAAGAAGAGTGGGTACTCACAAGTGAGACATTAATTGAACAATGTTTGTCCATGTTACACAACACAACAATTTCTAATCAATGAAAACCATAAATTTGCATAAAAAAGTAGCTACCTTAAATTTCATAACATATAGAACTGGGCCAAAGAACTCTTCATTCACGACATTAGCACTTGGAGATATTTCTACTATTGTTGGCTGCACAAAGTTCCCTTCAGATGGTATAACTGAACCTCCTGTCAGGATCTTGCCTCCCTGAAAATTAAATCTATTAGTAAAATTTTATAGAAAAAACAAGAGTCAAAGAAACAGAGCATATAAGAAACCAATTGCTGCTATATGCCTGGTTGTCTTAAGATGTGATCTAGTTATTCCAAGACAATATCATTCATTCTTCAGAAAGACAAAAATAATGGTGGATAACCTTGAAGATAGGGGTGTGTGTGTAAACCACCCTTTAAGTTTTCAACATAAGATTATATTTGATGCTATTATAAAGCTCTGCTTAATGCTTATGAAAGAATAACAATCAGAAAGTTCAAAACCATCCGGCTCAATGCAAAGTTGGTAATTTAATACTATGTAATGAAAAATGTGAAAATTACATTACATACCTCCGATATAATTTTTTGAATTCCCTTCTCAAAGTTCTCCCTTGAAGCACGTGTATGCAGTAGTAAATAGAATGTAAGGTAATGATGTAAAATAGTAAAAATTGAAATAATCACAGTGCAGTGATGCTATGTCAAATTGGTTTCAGTAAACAAGCAGAACTTGTGGAAGTTGATTTTCTCATCAAACATATAAGAATGAGATGCAAAGTGATTACTCAAGGTAGTTAATTAATTTAAATGTTATGTGTGGAAAACCAGTAACATTTGAGTGTTTATATATCCATGGAAAACCTTTAACCATCTTTGCTTGTTTACTAAAAAAGAGAAGCAGAAAAGGTATTCCATGTCAAGCAAACTCTCATATTTTCTTTCTCTTTCAGTCTTCGTAGACACCAAAGGACTAATCAAGTGCAAACCATTCCTTAAGTATAAACTACAAACACAACTTAACTGGTAAAATAAATTTCACTCCAGAAAAGTAAATACAAAAAAGTAAATGTAACTATCAATACAAGTAGAAAGTCATACATACTGTATACTGTTTTCTGGATACACTATAGTAGATAACCTGCTTACCTGCCTGATGCCTGATAGATCTAAAAGAAGTCATTTTCCCCAATTCAAATTGAAGGCCAAGCTCGAATCAATTCAGGAGATTTGCTCTTGATAGTAATAACAATAAATTAGAAATAAAGAACCCTAAGTCCCTGAACTCTAACAATAGATGAGAAACTAACGAAGGCATAATAGCGTTTACCTTAGAAACGATCAATGCAGCAAGTTTTCTTTCATTGCATTCCTCTCCTCATACAAATTTTCTCTGCAGAACAATATGCCAACGAGTGTTTGAGACGGCGGAGATGAGCGGGGAAAAGGTTTATATCACAGCTACGTCGTTGATCAAGGAGAAGGTTCGCAGCTGCGTAGTCGATTGAGGAGAAGAGGTAGGGAGGATAAGGCGATCGAGGGCTTCAAATTCGTAGACGATCTAGGGCTTCAGCGGCGCAAAGGTGTCGAACTGTCGGGATGAATTGGGTTAAGAAAATATTAAATATATGCTCTGTATATATAATGGATATTTATATATTAGGTTGGATAATAACTAAAAAGAATAAGAGTCAAATAGGACATCGAACTGCACACAATACAATAATTAGGCCATTGAACCTAAAAAACCAACAATTAGGTTCCTAAACTAATCAATTTCAAACAATTCTTTTCATTTGAAGGTTTCCAACAGGTCATCTCCCAAATTAATTGTTTTTTTAAAAAATAAATTTTAAAAATTAATTATTAAAAAAAATAAAAAATAAAAATAAAAAACTGGAATCCAGCCGGAGACGACCGTCTCCGGCCGGAACTAGTTTTTTTTTTTTTTTTTTTTTTAAATTTAAATAATTAATTTTTAAAATTTAAAATTTAAAAAATAATTAATTTGAAAGGATGACCTGTTGACCTGTTGGAAACCTTCAAATTGGAAGAATTGTTTGAATTTGATTAGTTTAGGGACCTAATTGTTGGTTTTTAAAGTTCAGTGGCCTAATTGTTTTATTGTGTGCAGTTCGATGACCTATTTGACCCTTATTCCTAACTAAAATAGGTATAGGTATGTATTACTTATCTGTATATATAATGGATATTTATATATTAGGATTAGGATAATAGGATACGATGGATAATAACTAAAATAGGTATTGTATGGGGGTAATACCGATCACCAAGGTGGTCGGAAATATTTAGTTCAAAAAATTTAAATTGTCCAAAGAATTTTCCGACCATTTTTACTTAGTGGTCAGAAATTTCGATCACTTTCCGACCACTTTAACCTCCGTCGAAAAAATTAAAAAAAATCACCGTTTGCGACCAAATTTTTGGGTGGTCGGAAATGAGGTCGGAAAATGCTAATTTCCAGCAGTGCATATTAAAAAATAAAAAATAAAAAAATACCCGAAAAAAACCAAACCAAACCAAAATGCCACCCCTACTCTGTATCACTCTTAACGGCTGCCATTGCATTTCTTATCCCAGGTATCTATCTCTATACACATCTCTCTCTCATAGCTTTCAATTGTAATTTTACGCTAGTTTTAGTTCCTGAATGTTGATTGGATTCTCAATTAAAAATTATGGCCATTTCTGAAATAGGGTTTGGGTATAAAGGTTTTAGGACTGTTCTCAGATGTTGAAACATTATACTTTGAAGCAAGCCCGGAAAATTATACATATTTTTAACCCTGCTATGGTGCTGTAAAATCTGAACTATCTCGGTTATCTATTTCCAAGTGTGGTCACCTTCTTTTAACGAGGATGCAGTCAGATGAACTCATTGATGCAAATTGAAGTCTCAGTACTCATTGTTATTATTTTAACTACAAAACTAGACATCCGCTAAACAGGATTTCATTCAGTACGTTTGTTTCATAATTGTCTCTTGATTCACGGATAAGCATTTTTCATTAAGTGGTTTTAGTTTGCAATTTTGCATTGCGTTTAGATGGCAAAGATTAATATTAAGTATTTTAAGTTCGTTGTTATCGTTTTCAAAAAAAAAAAAAAAGTTCATTGTTATCCTTAGATGTCTTAGATGCACCACACCCATTGTCTTTGAAAGGAGAAAGACTAGTTATTTAAAGATAACGAAAGATATAGTTAAACAAGTGATGGAAATGTTCATGGATACTTTATAGGATAACTCAGCCATCTAGGACTTGGTAGAAATGTAGGAGATAGTTACTGATGAAGTAAGTTACGTGCTTTTTCCATGTTTTTATATCATGTTGAAAACTTATATATCAAGTAATTCTCTAGCGCATGTGATTTTGTGCTAGGAACCATAACTAGTAAGTGTAACTTGCATGTTATATGACAGAAAATAACTTCCATTATCTAATACAGCCCAATCTGTTGCTTTGTACATTTAGGTAGTTTTCTGTCAACCTTTATATTATTAGTTAACTTGTCTTAGCCTAATTTCTTGTTTTGTCTATTGAGGTGGTTTTACGTATATTAATGTTATTCTATATTAACAAAAATAAAATGTAATATGTAATGTTCTAAAGCATTCTGACAGTTTTTTACATCAACAGTATGTTGCATTTAGCTCTGGTAGTATCCATCTTATAAACTACAAACATCATGTAGTTTGATGATTGTGAGTCTTTGCCTAGGAAATTAAATTCTTGTTGGTTAATGTTTTTACAATTATAATCAAAGTTTCTATGTGTTTGAAAACATTTTATGTTTATTAATTGAGATTTTTTAACACTATTTTGTAATGTGCATGATGATTTGCAGGCGCAATTCTCATTGTTCTTGATTTTGAAGTTAGAATGAAGGATCTATAACATGTCTGTAACACTCTTTAGGGGGATACAATTCTATCCTCTTAGGCAATACAAATTCCCATATTTTTCTAGAAAACATGCCACTTTGTATTGTACTTTGGAAAGAACAGAAACCAATACTACAACACAAGAAAAGCAACAGACCAAGTTGAAAGGGTTGCCAAAAAATCAATCAAAACCACTTGATAACATTTTGAAAGATTATGAATCAATCATTGGTATAGAAACCCATGTGCAGCTTTCAACTCTTACAAAGGCTTTTTGTGGCTGCCCGTATACGTACGGGGCTCCCCCAAATACATACATTTGCCCCATTTGCATGGGTTTGCCTGGGGCATTGCCAGTTTTAAACTCAAAGGTTATAGAATCTGCCATTAAAGTTGGTCTTGCACTCAACTGTAAGCTTTCTCTGAGCTCAAAGTTTGATAGGAAGCAGTACTTTTATCCGGATCTTCCAAAGGGATACCAAATATCACAGTTTGATATACCTATTGCAAGTGGGGGTTATCTTGATCTAGATCTGCCGGTTGAGTTTGGTGGGGGACATAGGAGATTTGGCATTACAAGGGTTCACATGGAAGAAGATGCCGGCAAGCTGCTTCATACTGATGGTGGGAGTTATTCTCAGGAAAGTATTACATCTCTTCTCTACATCTACAAATCTTGTATTTCATAATATTTTTTTTCCTATTTGAGATTATGACTAAAGCATTTGACTAGATTTGTTGAGTTTTCTGTTTGTTGAAGTTTAAACTAATTGTGAAAATCACTTTCTTTTGCAACTCGATCATATTATGAGCATTTCAGTGTGTAACGTTTACTTTCATGTCACTAAGTACACTAGTAACTTTTTGCCGATATCTCACCTAGCAACCAACTAGTATTGTTCATTTATTTTATTGCGAATTCTATAGGAGCAGGATCTAATCTTTTTTTCTTTTTTAAGTTTTATAACAGGTTGACTTGAATAGAGCAGGGGTACCATTAATTGAAATTGTCTCTGAACCTGATATGAGAACTGGAATTGAAGCTGCAGAGTATGCTGCAGAGTTGCAACGATTGGTAAGATATTTGGGAGTGAGTAATGGAAATATGCAAGAAGGGTCACTTCGTTGTGATGTCAATATCTCTGTTCGTCCAATTGGACAATTAGAATTTGGTACAAAGGTAAACTATTTCTTTTGTTTAGTAATATATTTTTCCACAGTTCTAGTATTTCTGTAATTTACTTTAAATCCTTATTTAATATTATTCATTTCTCATGTTTCATGATTTATTGATTTAACTTATAAATATATTTACTTGATGTTTAAATTGATAGAATGCTACTTTGTTTAAATTGGAATTCCTTGGACAGGTGGAAATTAAGAATTTGAACTCATTCTCATCGGTAAGTAGGGCTATTGATTTTGAGATTTCAAGACAGGTGCTTCTTCATAGCCAAGGCCAGAATGATCAAATTGTACAAGAAACTCGTCTCTGGGAAGAAGGTTCTCAGGTTATACAGTGGTTAACTTTTGTCCTGCCACAACATGAAATTAATATGTTACGGTTTGCTTATTTGGTAATGCTTTTCGTACTTTCAGAAGACAATTACCATGAGAAAAAAGGAAGGGCTTGCTGACTACCGTTATTTCCCAGAGCCTGATCTTCCAGGAGTTACTATCACTCAAGATTATGTTGACAGTGTTTGCAATTCATTGCCTGAACTTCCAGAGATGAAACGGCGGAGGTACGAAAAAATGGGATTAAGCATGCAAGATGTTCTTTTTCTGACTAACGACTCCAATGTAAGTACTGTTCATGACTGCTTAGATTCTTGGTCTTTATATTGGCATAATGCTACGCATTAACTTGACCTTTTATGCTAGTTTGCATGCTAACTACTAACTAGAAGTTCTATAGAAGAGTGGCATAAAATTATCTGAATTTTGTTGTGTTTACTGTTAATGATACTCCCATTGGAATAGGAATAGTTATTTATGTGAAGTATTGTATTATTAGAATTAGATGAACATTATAATAGGAGTTATTATATTATTGGATTTAGAGAAACATTAAAATATGAATTATTATATTATTAGAGTTAGTGGAACATTGGAAATAGTTAGACTTTAAGAATACAATGTTATAAATAATAGGCCCCCATGTATTGTGGAAGCCGTGAACCAGAAGAACAATATAATCTTTTTATACTTTTCCTTACATTCTATCACTATATTCTCCTCCCCAATTCTTTATTAGCGCTAACACTTGCTCGAAGTAG